ACCTTTGGAGACATCATTAATATAAATAATTTTTATGGCCGTTGAATAAGAAGTGTTTCTTTCACAAGAAATGTATAAAATTAGTGCTGTATTAGACTTACGGTACCTAATTTACATACTGTACAGATGATAATAAACTGAACTTACTAGCCTAAAATCTCCGTAGCGTGTTGCCAGGTGGCAGAAAGCATATATATAATTATAATAAAGTTACAATAAATTAAGTTAATATATAATTATATATACAATACCTAATTTATATATAATTAATATATAATTATATGTACAGTACCTAATTTATATATAATTTATATATAATACTGTACAGATGATAGTAATCTCTCCGTAGCCTGGCGCTTGACGGCGCGGAAAGTAGTTCGGCTGCCCGATGACGTTTCACGTAATTATAGGAGTTTTTTTACTGTTTTTTACGGATACCGTCGCAATTTTTTTGCTGTCTTATAGGAATCGTAATTATAGGAACCCGTTTTATAGGGGTCTACTGTATATATATATTGTTGTCATTGCATTTTATATTGGCTAACTCTTAATTTCCTACACTCGCGCTTATTTACATTTTTATTATTTTATATATGTTGAGTTTTAAGTACTATTTTATGTATTTTATTGTTATTTTATTCTTTTTTAAGTATTTTTTAAGTGTACGTTCACGCAGTTTGTTTTTTCGTATTTTATCTCACTATTGCGATAGCTCTTGTTCCTTGGGGAGAGAGATCTACTGTCTCACCACACCGTTTCACTCACAAATGTTTTTTGGATTGTTCATTACGAGTCACCGATAAACCCACGCAATAAATGTCGATTTTAGCCCAGCCTCCGTAACTCCAAACTTTTTAAATCGAATTTTTTCCCCCACCGATTTCTGTTAACCCGGTTTCGCTGTATTACTTTATTAATACAATTAAATTCACCGATTATTAGTTTAATTCTAGAGTGATTAATAAAAAGAATGTTAAATAGAAAATTGCAAATAAGTAAACTTTCGAAATGCGCTCTTCTACAATTTTCCCAAATATATTTCGGCACAAAAAATTTGTGATTCTGACGCATAATTTAATTTGTAAATAAATTCGAAACGTTAATTTATCGTAGATCGTACCTGTCATTCGATAGGACATAGCCACAGGCGCGTTAATTAAGGAAACGTCTGACAATTACGATAATACTGTACTTCAATTATATTGTCATTTTCAACGTAACGAGTATTCGCCAACAACGTTCGACAACTACATTTGTATCGTGTCTAACAATATTTGTGTCTTGTAAAAATAATTTTTTAAAAGTTACAAATAAATAAAATGGGAAAGCGTTCAGAAACTTCTTACCGATACAATGTCTGACTCCTGCTAGAAAAGGAAGAAACGAATAGCGACTTCGGCATTTATAATTTTCGGGAAGAAACCTGTCCGGATCGAAGGTACGAGGACGGGGAAAAACTTCCGGGTTTCGGTGCAGGTGAAAGATGCTGACGAGGTAAACCGTGTCCTCGGAAAAGATTTCTTTACCTGTCGATATAATAATTTTTTCAAATATCTTTCAACTCGTACGGTATATACGGAATTTAAAATTATGAAAATCAGCGCCGGTGGTATATTCAAATTAGTGTAAAGACGCGTAAAGTATTGGATAAAACTTGGCAGTTCTCTGCGCGTATTTTCTCATTGGTATTAAAATAATACTAATCGGCGGACTGCGGTAGATAATGCCACTATTCGTCCCACTCCCCCCACTGTCGCATAAAATATTCGCCTTCATAAGTAAGGCTAGAAAATGTAGGCGATGAAAATCGTTTTAGGCCTACCTTGGGTAACCCTGGGTAAAAGCCAACGTTTGGCAAAAATACGAACAAGGATTTTTTCCCGTAACTTAGCGGTGAAGTAAAACGGTGGATATGAAAAGTCGTTGCGGGTCTTCCAGGATCGGCATAACGAAGAAAATTTTGGAAATTATGAAATGCAGCCGGCGCCCGATTTTCCACCCATCTACCACTTTTGGCCAGCGCCACCTTCGACTTCCTCGAAGTAGGCGCGATGTTTTAATACAACGGAAAAAAACAAAATCACCTTTGTCTCGGACTAGGCTTGATTAAAACTCGTTACCACCCGAGTGCCAGTTCGATTTCTATCGTGTTTTCGAGTTCTCTGTCGCTGCTGCCGCCAAATCGGACAATTATCGTTAGACATATTCTTAAATTTGTCTTGTAAAACTTTTTCTGTTATTAAACTTATTATAACGTAAGTAAGAATAAATTAGGTATGCCTACCTGCGCAGGAGGATACTACAAGGTCAAATCCCCAATCGGAAGAATAAATGACTAAACAACTTTATCGCATACTTTTCTATTGTTGACATTAATTAATATTATACTTTTTGTATAAAATTTTAATATTTGATACAACACACAAATCCCCATCTATGTGCTTATTACCATAAAATTGTCCTGTTTCTTGTGACTTGACAATGATTTTTCTCGGTGGCTTAACATTTAAGTGTTCTTTTCAACGCTTCTCGGAAATTTTTTACGTTTAACATTTTTCCTTTAAAATAACATTTTATAAAATATTAAAGCTTAAGTTTTCGAACAAAACATTATTATATATAAACTGTATTAAGTTAGTCATTGGTGCATCTTATATACTGTAATTGTTTAATACGTAACTCACTCTTAAAGCTTTTTAAAACAAAACATAATTAAAATTACACAAGGTTAACGTTTCTTACCCAATTGTAGATTTTCGTGCGACCCTCTAATGGTAAAAGGTACCGACGGATACAACCTCAGGACTTCCTAATAAACACATTTATACATAAATATTTTTTCGTTATTGTTGATTAAACGCATTCGTATTATTATTAACCTTATTTCTTTAATACGCCAATATTTTCTTATTATATTAAATTTACCCAAATTGATATTACGGCCAAAATACGATTACGTCTTCTAATCATATCGCGTATTTTTCTTTAACATCTGCCTTTGAATCTAATTTACAGATGTTAAATCTACGATATTTTATATTCGGCGACTCGTTTTCTGCGTATGTTGGTGTGNTTTTCGGGAAGAAACCTGTCCGGATCGAAGGTACGAGGACGGGGAAAAACTTCCGGGTTTCGGTGCAGGTGAAAGATGCTGACGAGGTAAACCGTGTCCTCGGAAAAGATTTCTTTACCTGTCGATATAATAATTTTTTCAAATATCTTTCAACTCGTACGGTATATACGGAATTTAAAATTATGAAAATCAGCGCCGGTGGTATATTCAAATTAGTGTAAAGACGCGTAAAGTATTGGATAAAACTTGGCAGTTCTCTGCGCGTATTTTCTCATTGGTATTAAAATAATACTAATCGGCGGACTGCGGTAGATAATGCCACTATTCGTCCCACTCCCCCCACTGTCGCATAAAATATTCGCCTTCATAAGTAAGGCTAGAAAATGTAGGCGATGAAAATCGTTTTAGGCCTACCTTGGGTAACCCTGGGTAAAAGCCAACGTTTGGCAAAAATACGAACAAGGATTTTTTCCCGTAACTTAGCGGTGAAGTAAAACGGTGGATATGAAAAGTCGTTGCGGGTCTTCCAGGATCGGCATAACGAAGAAAATTTTGGAAATTATGAAATGCAGCCGGCGCCCGATTTTCCACCCATCTACCACTTTTGGCCAGCGCCACCTTCGACTTCCTCGAAGTAGGCGCGATGTTTTAATACAACGGAAAAAAACAAAATCACCTTTGTCTCGGACTAGGCTTGATTAAAACTCGTTACCACCCGAGTGCCAGTTCGATTTCTATCGTGTTTTCGAGTTCTCTGTCGCTGCTGCCGCCAAATCGGACAATTATCGTTAGACATATTCTTAAATTTGTCTTGTAAAACTTTTTCTGTTATTAAACTTATTATAACGTAAGTAAGAATAAATTAGGTATGCCTACCTGCGCAGGAGGATACTACAAGGTCAAATCCCCAATCGGAAGAATAAATGACTAAACAACTTTATCGCATACTTTTCTATTGTTGACATTAATTAATATTATACTTTTTGTATAAAATTTTAATATTTGATACAACACACAAATCCCCATCTATGTGCTTATTACCATAAAATTGTCCTGTTTCTTGTGACTTGACAATGATTTTTCTCGGTGGCTTAACATTTAAGTGTTCTTTTCAACGCTTCTCGGAAATTTTTTACGTTTAACATTTTTCCTTTAAAATAACATTTTATAAAATATTAAAGCTTAAGTTTTCGAACAAAACATTATTATATATAAACTGTATTAAGTTAGTCATTGGTGCATCTTATATACTGTAATTGTTTAATACGTAACTCACTCTTAAAGCTTTTTAAAACAAAACATAATTAAAATTACACAAGGTTAACGTTTCTTACCCAATTGTAGATTTTCGTGCGACCCTCTAATGGTAAAAGGTACCGACGGATACAACCTCAGGACTTCCTAATAAACACATTTATACATAAATATTTTTTCGTTATTGTTGATTAAACGCATTCGTATTATTATTAACCTTATTTCTTTAATACGCCAATATTTTCTTATTATATTAAATTTACCCAAATTGATATTACGGCCAAAATACGATTACGTCTTCTAATCATATCGCGTATTTTTCTTTAACATCTGCCTTTGAATCTAATTTACAGATGTTAAATCTACGATATTTTATATTCGGCGACTCGTTTTCTGCGTATGTTGGTGTGTTTATAACAGATTACGGTCACTTTTGATAGAAGTTTGACCCGGAAAATGTTACACTGGCAAAAACTATGAAATATTCGTTAATATTCGATTCGGTTTTATGTAGTTGTTGCGTAAAAAGTTTCAAGTTTGCACCGACAGTTAGAAACAACGTATATGAATTTTAACACCGTCAAAAATTATAGTTTACAAAAGTGTGTATAACACCAATCGAATCGGTTAGAAACTTTATATTTTATACCTTTTACCACGGTATTTTTTCCACTACGACAACCTTAAAAAATTCTCCAAATCGATATAAAAGCAGCTACTCGAATACTACGAAATTTCAGACAAATTTAATTTTTTCTATACGGTGTTTCGAACCACGGATATTAAACGAATAAAAGAAAATCACCACCGTTGCCATTTCGTCACTATAATGGCTGGAACAATACACGCTACTTGTGTATAAATGTACATGCTTATTTTTCAGGTCTTATTTTTGGTATTCGGAGTAGTCGAATACAAAACTACATTTCGTTTTCGGTTTTTCCAGAAGATAATGCATCCAATAGGCGAAATACACCATTAATTTGGCCCCCGGATCGGATGGTTTCTTTTCAGTTTCATACATTTCTCTAATCTCATTCCACATAAATCACTCGTAAGGAATTGATTCGACAACGTTCCTAACTCGTCTAATTTCTCCACTTCCTTCTATAACGGCTTATGTAGTTAAATATTGTTTCGTAACTTAAAAGATGTTATACAAGTTTACGATTTCAAGTTCTCAAAAACAATTTAAACTCTATTAGGCTGCATTGGTGAAAAATGCCTTTCACCCAAAGCTTAGTGTATTACACAAAAAATTACATACGGATAACTTGACATAAGTAATGTTATATTATATTATCCCCATGATATAAACTTGTTACGATATGGTGACAAAGAAGAGTGAAAATTTTACCACGAATTGATTTTGCATTAGAAACATTTGCAAATTAAATAATAATCTTTCCGACAGAATATTAATGCACTTTTCTACAAAATGACTGTACTGTGTTTATTGTAAGTACTTCATTTATCGAAACAGATAATTCGTTTAAATAATTATTTTAAGTTAGCTCTTTCCCTTTTTATATAAATAACTNTAATGTACGAAATTTTACATTTTTATTAAGAATATATAATTTCATGCAATAATAATCATATAATTAACTATTAACACAATAAATTATTAACACTAATCGGCCGATAATGCGTGACCGATTAATTGCTAATCGGCAATTTTGCTTATCGGTGCATCCTTACTCATAATGTGCGCATCTGGGGGTCAGCAAATCCTCAGGAAATGGTACAATTGCAACGAGACTCTCCAAAATTGAATGTTTTTTGTGCCATATCCCGGCGGAAAGTTCATGGGCCTTTCTTTTTCGGTGAAACAACTGTAAGTGGTGTTTCTTATCTTGATGCGTTACAACTATGGCTCTTTCTTTAATTGAAAGAAGCTGAACCAGAAAACTTTATTTGGCAGCAAGATGGTGCACCGCCTCGCTGGCATAACTCGGTACGCGATTGGTTAAACGACGTTGTACCCAACCACTGGATTGGCCGCCAAGGTCCGGATGACAGAGCTTGTTTCGCATGGCCTCCTCGTTAACCCGATCTGACACCATGCAACTTTTACCTTCGGGATTTCATAAAGGATCGTGTGTATGTGCCTCCGCTACCAGCTGACCTACTCGACTTAAGAAACAGGATTAAAGCAGTTGTTACAACAATTACTCAAGACACACTGATCAAGGTTTGGGAAGAACTCGCCTAGCGACTGGATGTGTGCCGTGGGACGAATGGTGCTGACGTTGAACACTTGTATGAAAAACTGTTTGAGTTGCTCTTTCATAATTTGTTATTGATTAATATTACNAATGCTGACGTAACAAGTTGTTGTAACGAAAGGTTATAGATAAATGCATTTCGACAAACTTAAAATATTTTTATAAGTCAGCGGGAGATTGGCTTAAAAGTAACAAAGTCAACCGTGCTTTTGTAGAGTAAATATTAATAATTTCGTCTTCATCAAATAAGTAATGTAAGACGAGATTTGAAATTTTGCTGACAGATGGCGTGGAATATATTAAATCTGAAAATTTTGTTCGTTTTGTTCGAGTAAACCGTCATTTTATAACTGTTAGCAAAAAGACCCCTATTGTAAGCAAAAGAAACTTGGAAATTTGTAGAAGTGTTAAGGAAACTAGTTTCATCTTAGATTTACAAATAAAATTATGACGGCAAGTAAATTACTCTTTCATATTTCGATAAACTACGAATTAGAGGTATATTTAAACGCGCGGCTATTATTTTTTTTATTGTATTGTGCGTTTAAATTTCTTTAGCTATTTGGAGAACATTCTTAGCTTTGGCTATGAAATTCTAGACGTATGTATTTAATAATTATTAAGCACTATTTAATAATTAATTATCATCTCTGTCTCTAGGATTCCCTTAAATATAACTTATATTTATGGGAGTCCTAAAAAGGGTCAATAGGTCTACATGGAAAGGTGGAAACCTCTGCTCTAAACCATCGATATATATTATATATCGATAATTATATATAGCCTATATATATATTTTTTTTTTTTTTTATTAGATAAGTGCACCACTCCTATGGGAGTATAACACTAAGATACATAAAGCAAGATAAATGATTCAAAGTAAACATAAAATTAGAAAGTTCTGCTTTTAGTGAAGACTAAAAGTAATATTAGAAATTAGAAATTATGAAAAGTCTTTTCTTCCATATATTTTGAATATAACTGTAAAAGGTATCAAACAGAGGCTTCTGTACAAGTTTATCCAGTGGACATGGCCACCTGAAACCATGCATGAAGATTTCTAATTTCATTATAAGTCTATCTTGATCATAAATAGGACAATGGTAGATCATATGGTCAACAGTATCAAGGTTTCCTGTGGAACAAAAGCAAAAGGCAGTTTCTGCCCGGTTATACATNTGGCCTCTCCATAGTCCGTATTTTCAATAAGTTTTGATTTTACTTTTAAATATACAGGACATTCTGGGTCAGTGGCTTTGTGAGAAATATTTTGAACATTCATTTTTAGTCGTTTAGCCCATCGGATACAATTGATGCACTTAATAACAGACGACTTGGTCTTTTCCACACAGGTTCTATAGCTGTGACCCTCTACTCCACAGTGTGAGCAGGCAGGTTGTTCCGGTACACATTTTGAAGCAATGTGACCAAATTTGCAGCAGTTGTAGCATTGTTTGATTCCTAAGTAGTTGAGGACTTGATGAGATCTAAGTCCTATATACACCCTTCTGTTTTTCAGTAAACTTTGATGAACTTGAGGTGAGGTCAAGAAAACCCATGTTTTTTCCTGAGCAGAGTCTGCCTTGGATCTGAAGGAGAATAGTGGTTGTAGTATTTGATCTTTTTCTTCTAGTATATTTTTTAAGTTGTCATTCTGTGCAGTGACAGTGTTAATCAACTCCTCTTTATTTAAGTTAGAGCACACATGGTGGATTTGAACTAAAGGCTTTCTCTTAGTTTTCTTGCTTGCCGAAAATTTGAATTCAGAGTCATGATTGTTATTGATGAGATTAATAATTTTATCGACACTGGCAGTGTTGGATAATTGTAGGCTGACTTTCCCATCTTTCTGCACTAGACAGGAGTCGATCCTGATACCATTGGCTGCTGGTTTTAGAACAGCTTCTAAGTGACTTCTGACAGTATTTCTGTCCACTTGCGAGTTTTTAATCCCTGGAGTTAATATTAATGTCTCCCTTTTTTGTGCTTGGCCAGGCTGGTTATGAACTTTTACTCTTGAAGCTTTGACAGCATTTGCATATGATTTTAGTTGTGATTGATGCTGAATTTTATCCTCTTGTAGTTTAACTATATCTTCTTGTACCACATTGTATTTGTCTAAACAGCATAAATGAATGTCAGTTATTCTTTGTATTAACTGATCTATTGTGTAACTTTCTTGTTGGTTAAGTGGGCGTTTATTCACTATGGGCTGATAAATACTTTTAAGTTGGTTGATGACTTCCGTAAATCCTAGTTTCGATATTTCATTTAAAGTTGCAGACACGTTTTCTGGGGTGGCTTTCGATTTGCGCCCCGGCATCGTGCTGCAGATTAGGCTTAGCTAACTCACCAAGCCACGTGGTCGACAGTAAGGTTGACTAGCAACGAAGTAAAACAGAAATTGGTACTCACATGCACAACAAAGGTTAAGAAGCCAAAATAAGATAATCAAGTGTCATTAAAGAGGTGGAAAATATATTAAATATGAAAATAAAACCAGAACAAAAGCAAAGCGCTGTTTAAACTTGACGCCACCTGGCGGTCCTATCAGCCTATATATATAATACAACTAACTTTATTTCTTTATCAAAATAATTCAAATGCTATCTGATGTTAAAATATGGTGTTTAATAGCGTATTTTTAATTGATTTAATTTCATTAATCGAAAAAAATTAACCGAAATAAGTAAAATATAACAAAGTAAACTCGATTTAACAGACAAAACCTTTTGGCATAAAAAAAATGTAAAACCTTTCGTATTCTCGAATAGAGAGAGCGTGCTAAAAGGTCGAAACGATCAGTCGGCATCATTCTCATATTCTTATTCTATTTATACTTATACAGTGCGATGGTAAAGTCCCTCCGCAGTGAGCTATGACCTCGTGGCTGAGCCGAGTGGTGACGTCATAATTTACTTTAACTCTCCGCCCGCAATCTGCCTGCGACTTCTGTGTTCGGTTGCTCTTCTCCCACTGCGGAAGGACTTTACCATGGCGGTGTTCATTACAATAACGTTTTCGGTCGGTTATCAAAATACTTTTCTTAAAACGCATTTGATTTAAAGGAGTTTCGACCATAGCGAAAACCCGTTTCCCCAATTAGTACGTTAAAAATCGATGGTCTACTTTAAATAAGAAAAGTCATTGAAATTAAATTAAAGCGTGGGTACATTTTGAAGTATAAAAAATATTACGATAAACGTTTAAAGAAAGTGTGACTATTTTGAACAATTTACAAACGAAATTTTGAAATTTATTTTAAAAAAGCCGAAATTCAAAACTAAGAATTAATGTCAACAAAATATACTTTTAAATACTCACGTTAATGACGCATTCTAAATAAGTCAGGCTTTGTAAATCGTTTTTATTTATTCTTCTTTCTGTATTTTCGAATACCGCATCCAATTCCCGGTGAATTCTTTTCTGTATGTCTGGATGTCTCCCAATTTCGTACACACTCCAGCAAACCGCCGAGGCCAGAGAATGAGAACCCTGTTGAAATCGATTCTCTTCTGTTAGTTTGAAACAATAAAATAAAAAGATTTCTTCGAACTGTCATTAAGAACTTTGGATTTTTTTTATTTTCCAAAAAATATATACAATTGCTCTAGTAACCTCTAGTGAATAAACCACCGCCGGCCGGTTTCCGCCTGGCCAACGGATTGGCCAAGTAGAGTTTTTCGGGATTTCTTCGCCCGTCTAACACCTAAATAGGATTTCGGTTTACCATAGAAAACATTCTCTCCTCGGAGGATCGCCCATATTTAGTGTTGTCACGCTGCATCGTTCCACTCCAACGTATTGCGCAATTTATTAATTAAGATATACTCTTATTATCTAGGTTATATTATAAAACACCTGATTTAAAATTGTTACCAAATTTTTGTTATATATAGTCTATATTGGGGACGAGTTGGTGAAGTCAGTCGTGAGTTAGGTGGCCTCCGGTATCCGGAGGCGACGCAACTCTTAAACCGCCAAGTTCCGAAGCCCCCTCGTTTCAATTTTAAAAATGTAATAATAATGTTACTGTTACAATATTTAGAAAGATGTTGCCAACCTAAAATACAATAAAAAATTATCGACGTGTCGGAAACGACCATTTTCTGGTCGAAAGACTTCCGGGCAAATTTGAATAAGGGGTTCCCACGTACAGTACTACAGTACGGTGTGGATTTCGGACATTTTTCTTCGAGGAAATTTTTCTGAAAAATATTTTCTTATAATAATTGGTTTGGGACTCCCTGTCGGTTGGGCAATAGTTTTTTTTGGTCTATAGGATAATGCGCCACTGCATACGACGGATGACCCCCATATTTCCCCATCCTCTCGACCTTTCGTCAGTAAAATTTAATAGCATCAATCCCCTAATACACAAACTTGCAAAACTTCGGGTATCTTCGACAAAAGACAAAAATTATTGGTTCGGTTTATTTGTTTACGGCCAGGCGACAGGTGGGTCATCCGCCCACGGAAATGTCTGTCGAGAAGACTTTCTACGGGAAACTGGTCGTTATATAGGTGTTACTAACGGGAAGAAAACACGGAAAACTTCGCGTGTCTGTAGCGTTGGATGGTATTAACCACTCGGCCACGGTGGGCGAGCATATAGCCAACAATACACTCGAAATAATTACCGCAGCCAAAAACGTCATGATCTCGTCCACGATACCGTCGACGGTAATGTCGGGATTATTGGCGGAAGCCTCCCATAGGTGATCGATAATGGGCAGGGTAATTCCCAGTTTCAAATAGTGGCGTCCGTCTTCTTTTATTTGTCGAATTCTTTCGTTAACGGCCTGTAAAAGGCAAAAATAGATATTTATCTGCATTTAAAAACGTTAATTAAAAAAAACAATACGTATATAACCTCTTTGGTAATTCTTTTGGCCAGCGATTTGTCTCTGGAAAACGATCGTCCTTTGGCCGTTAGGGAAGATATTACGTCCGACAACAACGTCATTTTCACAAATCCGTAAAATATAGAAGTTTTTATACTACAAAAGCGAAAAGAACTCAATTCTAATCCGAAATTTGACCACGACGTCGTCGAAATAAAACAAAAAAGCCGGTTCATTTTAATCGAAGTAAATGTCGTAATGTCGTAAATTTGAAATTTGAAAGATAGAAAATCGAGATTAATAATAATAAAAAATTGGGCCCATTCAATCGAAATTTTATAAAATGCACTCTTTAAGTAATTCGGCGGAAATTTATTTTTTACAGTATATTAGGAGACAATTACGGGAGATATATTTAAGTAGTCTATTAACGTTTTTAAATTGATTTTTTTACCAATTTATTTTAAACTGGGAGAATGATTTTCAGTCTTCGTGACGGAAAATAAAATGAACTTATTCATTTTACAGGGAATTTCCTACCGCGGACAGATTTTTCCAATTGCACGTACCTGTTTATAAGTCGATCCACGGCGTAGTAATTCTTTTCCCAAGACGCGTTGAAAACGCCGTAAATGGCTTCTGAAATAATTTCCAATTTAATTCTTTAAGGTCGTCCGATAAAATAAAATTGGAAAGAATTATTTCGTCTAAAGTCGTCGTCTTCTCCTTTATCTACTTAACAAAGGCGTATACTATTAGGGATTTTACCACCTGCCACCCCACCCGTTCTCTCGTACCGGCTAATAATGACTCGATTTATGGTCATTAACGGCAACCTCTGCCCCTTCATATTATACGCCTCTTCTTTCTACAGATAAATAAATTTTTAGTTTTTTCATCGGTTTATCTAAATTTGAAATATCAAAGTAAATCACTTGGGAAAATATATTATGTTTTATTTGAAAGGAAATCCCGCGCCATCATTTCCAATTAGATGACGCCTCTTCTATCTAAAATTACAATCGAAAGAGCTTGGTGGAAAAACTCGATAACTCCGGTTTTTGCTTAAATCCATCCAACGGATTGTGCAGATCAAAGTGGTAACGCTCCATCCTTACGTGATTCTACCTTTCGGAAGTCCCTTTTGCCAGACGCGTTTCCTACGCCCAACCGCTTGTTTTGATTAAAGAAACTAGAAGTTTAGAGTTGCGCCTCTGGTTTCGGTTAGGGGACCCGGATTCAATCCCACGATTGCCTGTAAAACAAGATGGAGGCGTCCACTTGTAATAGGGAAGAAATTAGCAGGATGTTATTTGATATACAGTACATAACCTTAACAGTTAAAGTTATATCGTTCGCATTCTGCAGAATGATGCGCAGAAAGATGCAGTCGCCGTTTGCTCGCGTTTACAATACAGTATTATCTCGCTAAGAGAAAATGTTACAAAAGTTTAGCTATTTGCTGACAACTGAGCTGGACAAAACAAAAATAAAGAAAACCGATGCTAGCTTTTCTTTAATACTTAATCCGTGAGAAATTTGAAGAAATTGTCATCTTCTATCGCAATTCGGTCAGTCTGGCCCGTGCCGTGACGGGGAATTTGGATTCATTGAAAGGAAAAGGAAAAAAAGAATGAATGAAAGTTATGAAAAATGCCCAGCCCAACAAACCTTTAAATATAGCGTGTTTGGAGCATCATATTCTTGACTCGTCGGCGGCCAATACGACATTTCAGAAAAGGGAAAATCTGCCAACCGTGACGAAAGCTAAAAATTGGGGAAAAAATTTGTCTATAACGAAGTTGACAAGCTTAATATTTCGAAGTACAGTACTCAATAACCTTTCTGGCTACAGAAACAACCAGTGCAAATTACAACATTGAATTTAATGATGGCGTCGGCAGAGGAAGACACGAAGATTATGGTGCCGCGCAGGAAAATTCTCACTTAGAAGAAAAAAATAATAGATGAGGTAACTATGCCGCTGCAGCTAGGAGACGACAGTTTTAAAAATACGAGTCTAAATCAAAAACTTAAATTTGTGATCCGACAGGACTTCCACCAAACCTTTCAATTACTGTTTTCAGGACTAATTCTTTCCGAGTATTTGAAATAGCCTATTCGGAGATTTCGTTCGTTGGATCCACCGGATTTCCGCGGTTGGAAAACGAACGGAGTTTGTAGATGTACGAAAGGTGAGAAATTACAACAACGCGGCAATTATTTAACCAGAAATTGAACCCGACGATTCTTCGCATTTATAAAAATGACTTACCAGAAAGTAATTTAAGAGAAAAAGTGTCGATGATCCGGTTAAAGGAGATCCACTGGCAGTCGGCCGCATTCAATTTCTCCGCCAAAATTTTCGAATGTCGCTCGATCTGAGGGATGCATTTTTCTAAAATCGACTGATGAAAGGTCCTGGACAGGGCGCCTTTTCTCATTTTCCATCCCACGCCGTTCCTAACGTTTCAAAATTTCAAATAAACTTTATATTTCTGGAGATTTTTCTGTGGGATTTTAGCCCTAAACAAAATATTTTTACGCTTCGGTTTCGTGTTATAATTTTCCAGTAAAACTGCCGTCTACTAGGCCAGGTTAAAATCTCTGCAAGAATTAATTAGCAGAACTTCGTCCCCGACTCCGGCTACACATTGGGAGAGGCTAAATGAAAGCCACGCGTCGTTCCGCACCAGTAGCCAATTCTTACCTTTGTTCGAACACTTCCTTAACTTACGTAATAAACCTTCCAGGTATAATACGTTATGGGTATATAACACGTCTTCGATTTTTCCAGAAAAATGGAAAGGGACCGGTATTAAAAAAATTTGGCCAGAGCATGGCGGATTTCCCGTGTCGGGTAGCGCCTGTTACTTGAAAAATTTTTTCCGGCTTTAAGCTTCATATTCTTATGTAACTTTAAGCTCGCCTTCTTGCATAAAAATTTAAGATTTTTAATAACCGTTGATAAGGCTCTTAAATTGTAACATTATTAATTATTTTATTAACAAAAAAAAACTCCTTTATCGGAGAGTGCATTTCGGGAGAGACCACGGTTCCGTCTTCTCTTCGTCATAATATGTCGGGCGAATTCCGAAAACACGGGTAAACGTATTAACAAAAATACTTTCGACAAATTTAAAAAATTTAAAACACGATACGATACATACTTAACGTATTCCTTACAATTTTTTAGACATTCCGACTATACTACGGGTCCGATGCAAATTGCTACTCCACACTATGTTAAATATATTATCCTTGTTTATTGGGCAGCAATTTGAAAAAAATGTAGACTTATAAATTCCCACCGTCGTCCATTTGTCTACGTCTTTCTTTCATTTCCGGAACGGAGTTAGATGAAAGTCCGCACCAGATACGAAAGTCATAGAGGCAGGAGGCCCGACTAGCTATATAGAATCGTCTCATGCAAACCGGAAGTCACGTTATTTCGATTCAAAAATTTCCCTTCGAAAGAAATTAGATAGATGACAGGCACGACACCATTGGTAACGGAAAAGTATGACGTGCGGGGGANTGATAAGGCTCTTAAATTGTAACATTATTAATTATTTTATTAACAAAAAAAAACTCCTTTATCGGAGAGTGCATTTCGGGAGAGACCACGGTTCCGTCTTCTCTTCGTCATAATATGTCGGGCGAATTCCGAAAACACGGGTAAACGTATTAACGGAAATACTTTCGACTAATTTAAAAAATTCAAAACACGATACGATACATATTTAACGTATTCCTCACAATTTTTTAGACATTCCGACTATACTATGGGGCCGATGCGAATTGCTACCCCGCACTATGTTGAATATATTATCCTTATTTATTGGGCTGCAATTTGAAAAAATGTAGACTTATAAATTCCCACCGTCGTCCATTTGTCTCCGTCTTTCCTTCATCTCCGGAACCGAGTTAGATGAAAGTCCATACCACATACGAAAATCTTATATACAGGAGGCCCGACTAGCTATATAGAATCTTCTCGTGCAAACCGGAAGTCACGTTATTTCGATTCAAAAATTTCCCTCCGAAAGGAGTTAGATCGATAACCGGCACGACTTCATTGGTAACGGAAAAGTATGACGTGCGGGGATGTACTAATTTGAGGTGGACAGCGTATATTTTAAGTTAAATAAATTTAAAAATATGATTAAAGTTGCAGCCCGTCATTGTGACCTTGTCACAATAAGTAATTGCTGGTTAATATTTATAGAGGAGAAGGTGGTATTATGGAACCCCAATTACATTTTAGTGAATTGTAAACAAGGTATCATAACTACACCCACATTTTTTGTGCGAAAAGTACTGGTAACTAGTAAACTAAATGTTCCTAATTGGATTTTTCGCTAGTGTAATTATAAGTATGGTTTTTGAAGGCTTTTGTACAAAAAGTCCGAAAGTAGGCTTAGAGAAAATCGGGTGGTAATATGGAACCTTACTGTATATTTTCAAAAAAATGCTTTAATGTAGCCAAAAACAAATAGGAAAGGACAAAAAATGTTAAATAATTACAAAATTATTTACTCCAATGTATTTTATCGCAAAAATGCTTTTATAATAGAAAAATATGACCTCCATCAACAATATATATTCCAGCAGCTCTTTTTCGATATTTTCAGACTTTCTACCTAGTGTCTTTTTCCCAAATTGCTCCGGACGAATGTCTGATTGCAAAGAGAGAGTTCGGAGGAGTTGAGTTCCATATTACTGTAAAAGCACCAAAGGGGTCCGTATTTCACGCATCGCCATCTCGAATTAACTTATGTCTGTCGAGACCAAAATTTAAAAAACGTGAACATCACACAGATTAATATGTACCCCTAAGTCTCTGGAACGGAATACATGCACCAGTGAACCTACAACTACACGATTTATATTTTAAAAATAATTAAATTCACTTAGCATTCAAAACTTGCGAATTTTAAAAAAAACAAATTTGCTGATTAAATACCGACAACCGTTTAACTGAAGTAAAACGGATTTTCCCCTCGCTACGGGTGTCTGCCTAGTTCAGTTCAGCCACATTTCGCTACAGTTCGCGTTTATTATCAGTTCGAAATGGGGTGGTTCCATAACACCCGCAGTGTTCCATAATAACACCTTCTCCTCTATTATTACACTTTAATTTTCTTTTAATATGAATTATTAAATTCTGAGAAATTCTTATATTATAACATTGAAACAATAATATTTTCCAAAAATTCCTTTTTTGCAAAAGATTTTCTGCTTCGGTTGGATGTCGAGTTTCTATTTTCTATTTCGTTTAACCGTTTTTTAATTACTACAAGATAATTTTTTTATTATACAAGATAATTAAATATTTCAGAGATTTCTTTCTTTTCGTCTCTTTGAGAGGTTCTTCTCTTTTTTATTTTGTCTTTAAACATCTTAAAAGTTTTTTCTTTATATAATTGGGTTCGTTACGATAAGAATTCGTAGCGTTTTCGCATTACAAGTTTTTCAATACATTTGAACCACCGCAATATTATGTAATCTCTTTAATAATCTGATCTTTTTCCTTTTCTAATTCGAATTAAATTTCCTTGTGTACAATATTTTATTTAGTAATTGTAACAAATTATATTCGTTATTGCGACACGGCTACAATGCCGGACTGCAACTTTTAAACCACATTTTTAATATATTTAATTTTAAATAAATGCTCCTAGCCTCGTAGTGGCCTGCCCCCGTATATCATTCTTTTCCTGTTAGGAACAGATTCGTGCCGGTCATCCATCCAACTCTTTCCGGGGGAATATTTTTGAATTGCAATAACGTGACTTCCGGTATAGACCAAAAGTTCGTATATATTTAATTCGGGTCTCCCGCTCTTAAGCATTCTATATTTGGTCCGGACTTACATTCTCGAGATTAAAACAGGACGGGCAGTGGAAATTTATAGATCTACGATGTTTTTCAAATTGCGACCCAATTACGGTATGAAACAATCCTCGACGTAACGGAAATAGTTTATCACTACAATTTCTATTATCTTATTATCAATATACTGTATATCATATTTAACTCGGTGTGTTGTGTGCCAATACAGCTTCCCACTGAGATGCTCTCCGTCTGTTTATAAAATTTTTCTTTCGTTTTAAAATATCCTCCTTTAGATATTAAATTAAACAAATTTAAAAGCCAATCCGGAAGTCGATGTGTTTTAAGAAATATTGATTTTATTACGTGTTATAGATGAATGCCCGCTTGATGTCTAATGACATGGTTGTAATGTTTCTATGTATTTTTATTATCTTCCATATCTGACGCAACGCATTTTCACCTAAACTTAGAATTCTTATATAAATTCAATTTACTTTTAACAAAAATCCGTCACTATTATTTATTTAGTTTGAGCATCTTTAATTAATTTTAATTTATTATCGTTCAAAAACGTATTTGCTCGTTCTGTATTACTTTAATTTTATTTCGTTTATTTAACTGGTTTCTTAACACCGTATCCAAAAGTTTTATTCTAAGAATAAAACTTTTGGATACAGTGTTAAGTGGATCTCTAACAATTTAAAAGCTTTATCGTGGCGTATGACGACTTCTAAATATTAAGCGAAAGGCGAGTATAAAAAAGAAAATTTTCCCATCGATTTAACAAGATGATGATCTTTGACCCCGATACCGCCCGTTCTCGGTCTAATTTTCACATTCCGTCTTCGTCACCGTACGCCATTTTAATACTGCTATTAATCGGTCGAGCCGTTACTGAACGAAACGTGGTTCGGCCGTTTGTCAGTTCGGGTGGCTGCCAACAAAGTTCGTTCACTCGACCGGTTGAGCTTCAATAATATTAAAAACAGTGTAAAACCTGTCCAAAACGGAAACCTGCCAAACCGGAAAAAGTATTCGGTACCGGGCGATTCCGGTTTACACAGGTTTTATCGTAATAAACGTTTTCTTAAGGTTGGAATTACCTCGTCGTTCGTCTTTTATCGAAAACTTTAGCGTTTAGTACTAAAAGAGTAACGACGGAAACACTGGAAAAGAGTTTAAGGTAAGCCATCATTTTCCAAAGTGGGTAGGAANTCTTTAGACCATGTCATGTGTTTTTGTGCCCAATCAAGTCTGTCACTTTTGTGCTTTAATGAAAGTGGTGGCATTACAGCTTTTTTTCTGAATTTTTACGTTGGAGATTTATTTAAAACTCTCCACAACGTTGTGCTGCTACAAGTTAAGTCTAATTCTTGTTTTATTTTTCTTACTGATGTTTGTTTTGTGGAGCAAACCTTGATGATTTGTCTTCAATCTCCAGGTATAAGCTTGGGTTTTGAACCTGTCTTGAATTTTGGTACATCCTAGCAACATCTTTTTGATAAATAATCACAAACTGTTGATTTTGGATGATTTATATATGCTAAAATTTTTGTTATTGACTTGCCTTATGATTTATAGGCATCAATTTGCCTTTTTTCATAATCAGATATATTCTTTGTTCTACCCATTTTAGAACGTTGAACAACATAAAAAATTTGTATTACAATTAGATATGTAAGCTAATTTACATATTTCAATTCTTGAAACTAAACAATATTCTTGAAATAAACAATATTCATGAAATGAGTTCCTGTCCGGATAAATATGTAACAGTTTTTTGTACAAAATTTTCAAAAATAATATTTTCAGTGACAAAATGTTAATGTTTGATTAAAATTCTTATTTTGCAGTGAGGAAAAACGTAAATCCATGTTATTTTTAATAAAACATTTGTCACTTAATGCAGCAAATTTGGGTTTCATTTTAATTTTTTCGTGTCCGTATAAATTTGAAACACACCTTATTTGCTCGTTCTGTATTACTTTAATTTTATTTCGCTTATTTAACTCAGTGTTTTTCAACCTTCTTGAATACGCGACCCCTTTACAAGTTAAAAAATTCTGGCGACCCCCCAGGGCCATATTAAAACTATATCAGTGATTTTAAAAACTACGTATTTAATTTTTTTTCTTTAAACAGCGATCGAAAAACCAATTGTACTGTAAAATAAACAGGTACAGCATTCTCACTGAAATTTTAGTTTTTTTTTATTGTAATGTAGGACCTACAAACACTTGTCTGTTTCTTTCACCCGCGACCCCCGTATAAGGCTTTGCGACCCTCGAAAAGTCGCGATCCACAGTTGAAAAACACTGATTTAACTGATTCCTTAACACTGTATCCAAAACTTTTATTCTAATCTCCTTAACAATTTAAAACCTATATCGTTGGCATATGACGAGTCCTAAATATTAAGCTAAAGGCGAGCATAAAGAAAAAAATTTTCCCATCGATTTAACAAGATGATGATCTTTGACCCCGATACCTCCCGTTCAAGGTCGAATTTTCACATTCCGTCTTCTTCACCATAAGCCATTTTAATACCGCTATTAATCGGTCGAGCCGTTACTGGACGAAACGTGATTCGGACGTTTGTCAGTTCGGATGGCTGCCGAGAAAGTTCGTTCACTCGACTGGTCGTGCTTCAATAATATTAAAGAGTAAAACCTGTTCAAAACGGAAACCTGCCAAACCGGAAAAAAGTATTCGGCACTGTGCGATTCCGGTTTACACGGGTTTTACCGTAATAAACGTTTTCTTAAGGTTGGAATTACCTCGTCGTTCGTCTTTTATCGAAAACTTTAGCGTTTAGTACTAAAAGAGTAACGACGGAAACACTGGAAAAGAGTTTAAGGTAAGCCATCATTTTCCAAAGTGGGTAGGAATTAAATGCATTCCAGAATTGGACTAATGCGTCTACTGGAAAAAAGTAAATTTTCATTAAACTGCAAATATTGAAAAATCTTCCGAAGTTATTATCCGTAAGTGTACCGGAAACTATAATTTAGAATTAAGAGTAATAAGACGCGAAAGTAATCGAGATTTAGCAGGAAATAAGAGTTTAAAAGTCACTTATCTCCGACGTTACTCACCTAAACATTAAGGAATTTTCTCCTATTCCACGAACCAACTTCTGCACCAAAGGTCGGTCGATATTTTCCGAATCGCTCAGCAGATTCTGAAATAGATACCATAGAAGAATAGCATTTGTTTGTACCACTCCACTCGATCATTACGAATAAGGTTAATCCTATCCAAATAAAACCGGCATCCTACGAATCGATGCGGAAATTCGTTCGGTGCTTTATCTATCCGGCAAGACCTTTTCCATTACGATAACGCGTACAGGTGTATATTTATATACTTCTTTTAATTTTATAAATTTCAAAATTTATCGTTTCATTTTCAGCCGGTCCGTCTGGGAACAGCCCGATCCAGAAAATAACTTCCGTTTAAGTTCTAAAATTACGTACGGATTTAGATATTTTGCACTCGGAATGTCGCGTTAATTTAATAAATTATTTGAATAAATATTTTTCTCGCGTACTTCCAAAGGTCGGGGGTGATACAGCAATACGAACTTTCGGGAAAAAACGTTTCCGTAGATAAATCCCCTGCTTTTGAAACGATGAATAATGCCGGGCATGACGAACGGAACGTCTGAAACAAAACAAAGCAAAAATTATTTTTGTATAAATTCAAAAAGCATTTCGAATTTTCTGCTAAGAAATAAGAATCCGCCGTGATATAGAAACATAATCGTATAAATTTATTTAATTTCCTTAAAATAATTGTCTGGATTCACTCACCTCTAATGGTTTTTAGGATGTGAAAATATAAAACCCAACTGTACCCGTAGGCTTTAATTCTCTTCCAGTCGATTATTTCCCGCCAGAAGTTTTTATACCTGATCGAAACCAGCAAAATCAGGAAAAAAGTTCCAAACGTCACGTAATACGCTTCCGGTAACATTTGCCAATTCTGAGAAATAAAGAAAATGCTGGGAATTCTCCGGTAACTCCCTATAGTGTTTACAAAGATTTTAGTGTAAACGAACGAAAAATAACGGGTGACGGTAATTAAAGTACCGCGTCAGACCTGGCCTGAGAGATTTTTAGCCATCGGGATGCCACCCAATTCCATTTGCTTTAATGCCGACTTTCTGGACCCGTGGCTTACCGCCCGACCACCTAGGCCTAATTTTCGCATACCAAAACGTTTATAATGGAGTATTGTCTGTCTCTCAATGCATTAATTAGTCATAGTTAGTTTCCTCCTATATAAAACGAGTATAAGTCTAGAAACTATGAAAAATCGCGGAGTATACGAAAACTTCTTACTTTTTGATAACGGAATATTTTCGTATATATATATATATAGGCTTATATTTTTTTTAATAAATAAACCGCGTTTATAGTCATTAAATTTAATCCTAATAGCGTAATAATATTAATTAAATATATAACAATGGCAAATTTAAATTACCTGAAAGACAATTTTACAACAAAGCAAAATAATCGTAGGGAAACGGCTTATCGACGGACGGAGTAACTCCCAGTCGAGAGTATCGTTTTACCACAAGTGGCTATTATTTCTTCTTTCTACTATCGACTCGCTTTAAAATTAATACATTAATATAATTGTAGCTAAATATCCACCGGCGAAACCGCAGAATTCAGTAAGTTGCGGAGTACCATACATTATAATTACGCTTGTCGTATATCTTATAGACAACTTGCGTGTAAAGTGTTGGAATTCCGGATGTACGGTACGTGTTGCGCGTTTGCGTTTTGCCCGTCGTCATATTTGTTAGGTTTCCGTTTCGTTTTAACCCGTTTCGATACTCGACAGAGTAACCAAATTTTAAATGGAGAAAATGTAAACTTTGAACGGTTCGCCTAACGAAGAGATACGGTGTAAATGAATTTTAAAACAAAATAAAAACAAATTTGACAATTACAAAATAAATTTACCACGCAGCACTTTGAAGCGATGCTACGCAATGACGAATAAAATTCATAAAACGTACAGTACATTCTTAGTCGTTACAACGATACGACGACCGAGCGTCATAGTTTGTTTTAATGTACTTAAATTTCTCTTGCTAGGAAAAAGTATTTTGCGAAGAACTGTTTGCCAAAATTTTCGGATCCATTCATCCACTTGCTACAAAATTGAGCTTTAAGTGATTTGTATGCTTTTGTGTACTTAAGAGTTAAAAATTGGGTTATTAAGAAAAGGTGTCGCCATATTCTATCTTTGGCCACGAACACGATTCTTTAAGAACGAATTCGTCATCTTCGTACCCATCGACTCCACCTAAATAACCTACTAAAAAACATCTAGCAACGAGTTGCGTTACTTTTCCGGCTATTATGAGCTCTTAATTAAAAAATAAATTTGTGTGTGACGCCATTATTTATGAAATTTTGTTATAAGAAACTTTTATAACAAAATGTCATAAATAGTCTTTGCCACTTTGCCATTTTTAGTTTTCATAAAATGGCAAAGACTTAATTTTGAGGGTAGAAATGAATTTTATTAAAAGTTGTAAATGTTAATAACGAGAAAAATCTTCATTAAGTCCGATCCACCATCCTCTCGACCTTTAGTATTACTGCATTCATTTTTTATGGCAGTCTGTTGCAGCAGTTTAGCTTTAACTGCAGCTGAGGTTAATTTTGTACGTGCGGCAATCGCTAAATTTATCACTAAATTATTGTATTCCTCCGGTAGACGCATCAATAATAATTCGGCATGTTCCTGGTCGTCGACTGTACGATCGATTTTCCTCAATTGGTCAATAAGGGTTTGTATTTTATTAATTAACTAGCTGCAAGGACCCGCTTCGCTGGGTTTTTATTTGTTCGTACATTTGTATGTAATATAGTTTTTTTTATATATAAAAGACTGTTTTTCTAAGTAATGTAGAATCTAGCTGCAAGGACCCGCTTCGCTGGGTTTTTAAAAAGTAACGATAGTGAAGATTAAGATAATTACATTATAGCTAATCTTACCCGTTTTCACAGAATGCAAGAATTAGGTCCCCCGTTTCCAGACTAATTAGAGAATTTTTACGTTTAATCAAACGAACTATTTTCAATTTGATCAATTTTCTGCAACGTTTACAATCGTTCTATAATCGAACCAATTCGAATTCGAAAATTTTTAAAGACGAAATAGAAAATCTTCCACTTCCAACCACTTTCAAGCCCATATCTCCTACACCCTTATGGCTAACGAGACGCAACCACTATAGTGCACGAATGGAGACTGGGGGTAGTTAATTTAACCTGTCCGCGACTGTCGGGTACTGTAGTACAAGGATGGCCTCTTTTGTGCCTAGCGGGTGCGGAGATGGCTTCTTTCCTTCCGGCTCCGCTTCAATTCTATCGCGATAGACAAAGTCCCGCGATGTCCTAGTATATACTAAAGAAACTGAATAATTATCGGAAAAAAAACTGTTTGCTTTTAAAATATATGGGAATAACATACGCTGTTTTGCTTCGGTTTCATTTTTAACGTTGTATCAAGTAATAAATAAACCATTATAGGGCGTATGGCCGAGCGGTCAAGGCGGTAGCCTACCGCTCTGGGGGACCCGGAATCGAATCCGGCCGGTTCGAATAATCCCCAGATTCTTTTCGGAGGGGTGGTTTGGCCGAATATGTCGGACCCCGTCCCTCACTACCAGGCCGCCCCATAATGGGCTTGCAAAAAGAGACCTTCCTAGTGCCCACAGGGTGGAAAGAGTTAAAAGGTAAAAAAATAAATAAACCATCAACAAGTGGCTCGAATTTCCCGGCAACATTTAAAATTTTGGTGGCGCCATCTGTTATCATATTTTATCAGAAAAAACTTTATATTTTGAACTATTATAAAATGAAAAATGCTTGTGGATAGGGATGGGTTTCATAAAAACAAATTGTAAATGTTAATAATCAGTAAAACCGCCATTAAGTCCGATCCTACACGACCCTTATTATCTCCTCACCCTTCGACTTTTAATAATAGGAGGCGACCTTTCCGAGACGATTAAATCCCTGTATTTAATTTAAATTTAATTTTTTCGGCGGAATTAGAAATTTTCTAAAAGGAAAAAGAAAAGATAATTTTTAAACTAAGGAAAGATTTTATTTTGAGTTTAATTTTTACTTCAATTATTTTTTTATCCAAATTTTTTGTTATTCTTAATACGAGAAAATGTACTCGGTTATTAGGCCAAAGAGTATTTATTTACGAGAAGTGATGCCAAAACGATTATTTTTTCTTAAAAGAAAAACACTATTTTCAGAAAAATAATGCAAAATAACGAAGATTTTTTTTCTTAAATCCGAAAAGGTTTTAGAAAAATCTTTCAAAGATGACAACGGGAAAAGTTTTTCTTTCATGCTGTTCCGAAGGATGGAATTTGCGAATACAATTTGCGTTAATAATAGAATCTCTGAATTATAAAGCGAACTTCTGTTTTTCTTTTCCCGAACGACTCGGTCTTGGTATAATTTGGCCGAAATTATTCGATGCAAAATATCTCTCACTCGTTTTTATCGTCGTCCTAAACAATACGTCATAAAGAGAGCCTCTTTGTGACTCAAACGCCCGTTAATTCGATTGGACCTCGTCATCCTAAAAGTCCAAGGAAATAAAAGCGTCTTCCGAATTATGTTTCTCAAAAATTTCTTGTAAATCGCATTTTCTATTTATTTTTTTTCCAAAAACAGGTTTTTTCTAGGAAAACGACATTGGGCTCCGCGGCTACGTTTTACTTTTTCGGCTCGACACCAGAACACGGATCCGGTGACGACTTCCAACGTTTTTTCTAAAGAAGTTTAAATTACGCACGTCAGAGGGAAGACGTGGTCGTCTGTCGTCGTAAACGACAAAACGCAAAACGTTTAAAACATCCACCCGCGGCCAGCGACCGATTAAATCCTGCGCGGACGAGACACACGCCTGTGCGTGTTTAAAAAAATGTATTTCGTCACGACAACGTGCGTGTTAAATATCGGTCGTAAAGATCGTAATACAAATTTGTCGTAAAGATCGATGCCAATCGACGGCAATGGTAAACTCCACCGACCTACCGCGTGCCACCCGCTTACTACCGACAATCGGACCGTAGACTTTACGTGGAAAATTTTGACTTTGTATAACTCAGCTCGTAGATAAATACTAAAAGATTCTATTTGTTAATAAAACGCAATATTTGTGTCTCGATTATTTATTCCTTCGTAAACTCTGGCATTATTTTAATACGATTTATCCTTTTTTCACCTGCGCTTTGGTCTTTGCCTTTTTGAATGATTCTACTAATGTATATTCCTACCATTTGCCAAACACCCCTCTGACCTCGGCTATGCATTACCAGTGAGCGCATTTCTTCTTGGAATTGGTAAAATTTTCTTCCGGTATTCTCGCGAACGGTATTAGGTGCATATCTAGTACTTGTTGGTATTATACAGCATTAATAAGACTAAAGATAAAACCTAGATTTGTCGTATCGCCTGGTTCAAATGCTCGCCACGCCGTTCCTCTTTCGGCATTTCTCTACCTTCCCGACGGAATTACAAACAACGAAGTTAAAAATATTGAATATAAATTAAAAGTAATGAAATACACAAAAATAAAGATTTATTTGTGGTAAACATTTAAATTATTCCAGTTAATAACTTTTCATAAATAATTTAGTTATAAAAATAAATAATATTTTTATTTCTTTGTTACAGATTACCAGATGAAATTCAATGAGGTTATATCAAGTTGTAATGTGAAAAAATTGTAGACGTATAAATTCCCACAGTCCGTTCTTCCTGAATCTCGAGAACGGAGCCAGATAAACGATAGATAGATGGCCCAAAATACACGAACTTCCAGTAAAACCCGGAAGTCACGTTATTTCAATTCAAATGTTTTCCCCGAATGGAGTCGATGACCGGTGCGACTCCGTTGCTAACAGGAAAAGAATGATGTACAGGGGCGAGACACTACTAAAAGTTGTGAATATCGTGACGGAAAACTGCAGTTTGCCGTTGCCGGAATGTAAGAAAAAATAATTGCTCGGTTTCTTTCTGGCTTTCATTTACAGGAAGAATTTGTTTTATTTTCTTATTTTCTAGACGGTTAGATAATTTCATAATTACAGTATATACGTTCGATTTCGACAAACTTAAAGCTAGACGAGATGCGATTTGCTTCCGAATCTTTGTAAAATTACTAATTGTTCTGCATATTAAAGCTTTTTTCGGAAATTCGATGCGCGAGGTATTTTGTTACACTAGAGGAGTTTTTGTACCGTATTCTCCAATAAAATTGATGTAATTCGTACAACACGATAAAAATGATTTTCCTCTCTCCGTAATAAAACCTTTATTATATATTGCAGAACTATATTTCGTAGAAATTCAACGCTAATCTACTGTCTTTTATATTAAAGTGTCTTTTATACTACTGTCTTTTACACTATTGTCTTTTATACTAAAGTGTGTGCTATTTTGCATATTAATTTCAATTTATCGGCTAAAGCAAAAATGCTTCTACATTTTGGGACAAGCATATCCTATATTACATTGTTAAAATTCATTTATATTTTTATTTTATTATTG